TCTCTCTCTCTCTATATATATATATATATATATATATATATATATATATATATATATATATATATTAAATATCAAATAAAAATACTCTAATATATATACGTGTTTGTACAGAGTGCACGCATGTATAAGATCGAATTAGAAGCCAGTTGGACGACAAGTCGGGGGTCCGGGGGCAGCACCCCTGGGTCCGGGGTTTCCAAAAGGGCAGTGCCCCTTTGGCGGGGTCTAGGGGCAGCGCCCCTGGCTGGGGTCCCGCTGGGTTTGGGCCAGCGCCCCAAAAACTCTCCGAATTTTACATATAGGAACACAGTGGGAAAAACGAATGCGTGAGGGTGATTATGGTAAAACTGACGAAATTCGTCAGTTTTTGAAACCCTAAATCCTCATTAAATTTCGGATTTCCTGGCTTACTTCCAAAGCACCCCTAATCTCGTTTATTATAAATAAACGGCTCTTCTCTTTGAGAAGAGATACGAAAACGATTAGCTCTCTTTTTCTTCAAACGAACATATAATCCTTCTAGCAATTTGGCTTACGATTTTTGTGTCTAGATTCGTAAGTGTCCTCTTGGATTAACCTAGGCTGAATTTCTTGCAACCGAGACACATGGTAGAAATATCAGTTCGGAAAGTGTTCACACGATCCAAGGGGTATCCAGATCTCCAACATAAACCCTAATTCATCCAACAAATTTTAGTAGGAAGGTAATAAATTATATATATATATATATATATATATATATATATATATATATATATATATATATATATATATTATACCTTAATATGCATCTTTGGTCAAAAGATGAATTTTAAGAGGTAAAATGTCATAATGCATCATGAACAACAAGTTTATGCATTACATAAAAACTATTTCTTATATTGTCAACGAGTTAAAAGGTCAAAGATAAGAATTAGGAGTATTCAATCGTACTTGACCAATTCATACCATAATTTAAGGAGTTTTTGTTACATTCAAACTTGAATCCCAATTATCTCGGCACCGTCTCCTTAAATTCCTTCAATTTGACTGTCACCACCATTTGCAGCTTTCATCATGACACCTTCACTGACCATCTTCGCCTTCACCGCCACCATAGAAGCATTATGATCTCAAAATCCCCACTACTACTTATCCCTTCACCATCATCGATCTCTTCGTTTCACTATCTAGAATTCCTATTGAAAACCCTAGCCCTACCCTGTTGATTGCCGCAGTTACCACCATCCACCGCTTTAACCGTCACCGGAGTACCACATAACCATCTATGTTCCTCTTTTGATTTATAGAAGTAAGTGAAACAAACTTATGTAACATTCACACATAAGGTGTTTGATATAATTACTCAGAGAGTTAGTTCTTTTTATTTTTTGTTTCTAACTATGATAATAATGGCTCTAGAAATAGGTAAGTTTCTTCTTTCCTTACTGTAAATGCCAATCATGATAATCTCCTTCCAAAATGATCATGGTGACTATAATTTGTTGATTTGAAGCAAAGAATGGCAAATCGCTTTAGTAAAATAGCAACAATGATAAGCAAAGTAAACCCAATGTGAGTTTTATGTTTTCTGACTTTTTTCTTCCAAAGCATTACAACTACATAGAAAATGTTTTGAAAATATATGGATTGAAGTTGATAAATCTGGATGCATATCAATTTTTTTTGCTTAATATTTTTTTCTTATGTTGGTCCGACTTTTGGTTTCCCAGAAACAGGATGAATACAATCATGGCATTTATCTGATATTATGCATCATTTGTGGTGAATGTGTT